ATATTGTTACATTAACTTTTTCTTCATTTATTATTTTTTTTTATTTCTGCCATATTTAGAGTTAAAGCTTTAAAAATTCCTACCTTTGACATCTTAATGGTTTCTTTTGTTTATAGTTTGTTTCTTTGTGCATACGTGCTGTTTTGTATATGTATTAATTGTGTAATTGTTTTAAATATTTGTGAATTTGTTGTGAACTGTTAATTATTATTTTCTACCAAATCGTTTACTTTATTCGTTAATTTCCAAATTGCGCCAAGTTTATTAATACTTCTCTATTGTTGTAATAAAGTTTCTGTTATTAGCATCTCAAAAGTTATACTAGAAGATATCGGTCAATATGTGAGTTATTTCAATGAAAATGAGAGATAGTGTTTTTCTAATAACAGTCTATCTTTGGGCGAAAACTTGACTTAGCCCCTATATAACTAATATCAGAATATTCGAACATCCGGCTGACATTTCCCCATATGTGTACATAGATTAGTGATGGTATGTGAGATACTTTAATGAAACCCAGGGAGCATTTAATTAGTATGTGGCCCGTTAATAGTATGTGGTATTGGCAAAAATAGATAAAATCGAGTCAATACTACCCCCAAATATCCTATACTACGTATAAGGACTTTCGATTTTCTAACAAGTTTTATGCCGAATATGTCGTTTAGTGTGTGAGTTATATATTCAAAAAAATTTCTTGAAAATATGTTCTCATGTATACCTGAGCAATATTCAAATTAATACAATCAGACCGCTTTTTCTTTGTCCCCCAATATTGCTTATGTAATGATTTCCGAATTTTCTTAAAATTTATGTGGCTTAGCGCTGAATTAGAATGGAATTGGTCTATACCTTAGTGTAAACCTCATAACCTAATATAATGAATTCCGATCCTCTGGATGACGTTTTCCACATCAACTCACTATACATATTGCTTATCTGCGTCTGCAGGTAGCGAATATAAAAAACGATCTGATTTACAATAATAGACTTAAGCAAGGTCAAGCCCAGTTGTTCTCACATGTATGATTATATAAACATATTGAAGGACAAAAGGAAATGAGGAATTAGAATAACGAGTAATGGAATGATAGGTATGCAAATTAATGTGACCAGATAGCAATTGGTATTAAATAATTACAATAATTTCTCACCACAGAGGGTGGTATACATGTGTACGTATAAATTTAGTTGTATTATATATAAGTGAGAATTAAGAGTGATGCTACAAATTATTGGCAGTTCCATCGAGATTTCGGTAAAGCGAGCCAAGAGCCACGTCATTAACTTCAGTATTTCGGTGTTATATACGCCACTGCGCTTGTTGTTGTACAGTAGTGAGATATTCGTCACTCCATCGTTTCCAAAATATCTGTTGTATGTAGGTAACCTTCTGCCAGCGATCTAAACAATTGTAGTTTAGATACGTGGGGTTAGGCTCAGGAATAGTGATAAGAGGGCCACCAAAACGAAAATGTCTGGGCGTCAGGACATCAAGATCTTCTGGAATTTTTGAAAGTGGCACAAGAGATTTTGAATTAACTACTGCTAAGATTTCACATACGAAGGTACTTAATTCTTCAAAATCAAGAAGCGATAAACCAACAGAGCGATAAGAAGTACCTTTTTGCCATTACATTACAGCTGTGTCCCACAGAGTGGTGATTGAAGAGGTATAAAACGCCAATCTATTATATTATTGAGGCAGTAAGCGTGAACCTGGTTGCGGTGACTCCCACTAAGAAATAGCTCACGTAAGCCCTTCAACTCGTTCTTAGCGCCAACAAAGTTTGTAGCGTTGTCTGACCAAATGCAACTTGGTATGCCACGAGTGGCTATAAAGCTCGTAAGTGCAACAAGAAAAGAACCTATTGATAGATCTTTCACCAGTTCCATTCATTCCGTCTTTGTAGCGAAGAAAATGAAAACGCTTACGTAGCATTTTTGAGATGCTTTCTTACGAGTATCGGGTTTGAAGTAAAATGGTCTACAGTAGTCTACGCCCGTGACCATAAAGGGCCGCGATGCGTGAATGCGTTCTTTAGACAAATCAGCCATGATGTGCTCGACCAGTCGGGGTTTTGATCTGCAGCATATGATACATTTACTAGAACACGCGCAATAGTTTTCCCTCCCCATTAAGGCCAAAATTGCACACGAATTGAGCCAAGTAGATACTGAGGACCTGTGTGGTGATACTTTCGATGAAAGTTAGTTATTATTGACCACGTTAATGGATGATCCTTTGGTAAAATCATTGTATGGCGAGACTCAAAGCCCAGTGTTGAATTCTTAAACGATCCCCAACTCGTATGACTCCAACTCCAAAGTCTAAAAATGGAGATAACGAAGCGATTTTACTTAGTGAACAAAGTTCTTCTTATTCAAAGCAACGATATCTGGCCCCAACTGCGCTCTTTGGACTAGGCATATGAACAATTGAGTCCCACGATGAATATCTGCAGTTGTTAGCTGTAACTTCTTCGATTTCATAAATTTGTACATGTATCCAAAGATACGCTGCATTGTTCCGACGAGAATGATATGTCGGGACTATCAAATAAAATATGCAAGACCTTTTGACGAGTTTCTGGTAGACAGATGTGAGAGGCGCATGGTTGCGGCCAGGAAGATTCAACGTTTCACAAATTGAGGACCATGCATTCAAAGCTTTGACCTTAGGAACATCTTTGGTGTATCACCCTTGGATAGAATGTCAGCTGGATTAATGGACATTGACGACACTGCATGCCTTGTGTTAGTTGTTGTATGGTGGAAATTCGATTGGCAACAAATACGTTGGACTTTGAGGGTTTAGTATTCTCGAATCTGCGTCTAGCAGCTAAATATGAATCACTAAGTGAATCCAAGCTACGCTTAATGAGCAAGTGAACTGAATACTCGCCGAATGATAAATGTATATAAATATTTTTGAAATGTTCCCCACATTCGAGGTCTTTCTTCGATCACGTACTAATTTGTCTAACTGTGTATCTAGGTCAATTCCACTTGATTATCTTTGGCTTACAATAAATGCTGATAGTTAAGGGCTTTGTTGCCAACCACAAGATAACACTCATTCCAATCGAGTTTTTAAAAAAAGTTGGCACCTAACTTTATGTGTCCCACACAAATGCGATCAAAGAAAAGTCCTGCTCCGATGGACATATCGATGCGTTGTAGTATGTTATAAGCAGGGTCAGCTAGTTAGATATTCGAAGGAACATTCCAATCATCGGTGGTTACTGAAGTTCCAGGTTGATTATCGGTGATCGTTTGAGCGAGGAGAGCAGTAATGTTCGTTAAATAATCAGACGGTTTTTCCAGTTTTACCAAATGTATCAGCTAACGTTCTCGAGGGTACGACATCGTTGTTCTAAAAATGCAGCCAATGATTCTCACGATGGTAACTCGTTTATTGAACAACTTTCTTCTCATTTTGCCTGAGTTACTTTGTTTAATTTTTTGAGTTAAAACTAGGAGATATAAAGCTGTATTATGAAACAGGGCATTGCTGTAGCAAGGGATACCTGTGGGCTAAAAATTGAAAAATAAATGGGCGTAACCCCGCTCTCTAATAGGTTTAATGTATATATCTCCAAAACCACTAAAGCTACGATAACAAAATTCAGTTAAGACAATTCCTATAGTAGCTCTTATGGACAGTGTGAAAATGGATAAAATCGGGTTATATCGCCGCCCTCTGCCCATATAACGGTTTTGTTAAAAACTACTAGAAGCGCGATAAATCGATAACTAAACGCTCCAGAGATATACAAGTTTACTCTGAACGTGGTACGAAAGGGTTTTATAAGAGACGGTATTAAATTCGAACGATGAGCGTGGTACCGCCCATATTTAGGTTAAAATCCATATATAGGGACCTACTTGACCGATTTCAACCAAATTCGGTGTGTAATATAATATTATACTGATATTCCTACATTACCGTGGGAAAATGTGTGAAATCTGAAAAAAATCACGATTATTTCCCATATAAAACAGTAGAAATCGAACTATAACTTTTCAATAACTCAGACGCCAAATATGTGGACTCCAGTGCATATGACTGACTTTTTTCTGGAAATATCATACACCACTTAACGGACCACTTCCTATGTGGCTTAATGACTGAATATGTCTTAAGGTGGCTCCAACCATTGCATGTGTTGCATCTAACCGAGTTGGATCATTTTAGCTCAGACACATCAGAAAAAATTTTCCGGGCCTGAGTTGGACTCACTGCCAGCACAGATCAGGAGGATACGAAGCAACCCGCTGCTAAGTTTTACTCTAAAATTGATGACAGGGTTAGATCCTCGAAATAACAGTCCTTAGCCAGATAAAATCCGGGTCAATTCGGATATCGTAGAAACGGCTGTTGTGAGAATTGGAAAGAAGTCGTGTTGTTTTCTTTTCTCGCCCTTTTCGCGATCTTATTTGAGTTTCTTTTTTGTTTTTAAGTAACCCGCTGATTTTTGTTTTATTTTGTCATTGTTGTTTTGTTTTCTTTCCTCGCACTTTTCGCGATATTTAAATTTAATTTACGGTTGATTTGTTATTTCATCTCTTGGCAGGATCGCCACTTTAAATTTTTAAACAGAAGCAGATTTGAGTTAAAGCGCCTTTTCAAGCTATCAAACGACTAAACCTATTATATCTTTATTTCCCTTTTATACATTATTTTCCTTAAGTCTACCTAGATACATAGATAGATTACAGGTGTTATCTGATCGCCCCTTCCTAATTGTCAATGTGTCAGTGACATTGTCTAATAGTTTAATTCTATTGTTTTTGTTTATATCATGGCTAAATGCTTTGGAATATTGGTGGTGTTAATTTGCATAAGGTAACTTTAACCACGAAACACCAAAACACTACAATAATACAATCTTTAACCCGCCGCGAAACTATGAGAATTAAAATTTCAAGTTATGAAGCATACTTTATATTAAATATAAAGGAGGGAAACTTAATTAAAAAATGTACATTATTTACAGTTTACATTTGCAACGTCCAGAACACCCTGATATATATGTATGTACTATCAATCAATCGCCCATCTTATTAAGTTAAGATATTAACTGAAAAGGGTTTAAGTACAGACTACGTACATCTGCAACATAATTAAAGAGCTCTTTACTTATCGCGAATTGTATAAAATCCAAGTACAAAAGGATACACATAGATAAAAACTCGGCCACCTAAACACAAAATGCAGTGCAGCCTAGAACAAATGAATGACTGCGAACGTTCACCGAACCGGACCAATCTTCGTGTCAACTTTAATGAAAAGGGAGCTGAAGTAAAAGAGCGACGCGAAAAATTTCTCACTGCCAAGTATGGTTCACATCAGATGAGTCTGATACGTAAGCGTTTGGCCGTTGAGATGTGGTTGTATGATGAACTGCAGAAGCTCTTTGATCCACCAGTAAGTTGCAACATATGATAGTAGTACTGTTATCAGCAATAATTAAATTGTTGTTTTCAATTTTTATATTTTTGCGTTGCAGAGTGAGGCCATCGATGTGGATATTGATGAAATTTTAGACATGGATACCGATGACATAAGAAGATCACATTTAATAGTAAGTTAATAATTTTTCATTGGATTTATATATGCACTTTAAACACTACGCTAAAACCTAAACGTTCAATTATTATACTGTAATTATTTAATATTTTAAACCTCAGGATAGAATTGTTAGAAATGAGATTAGAAGAGTACATAGCTTTAATTGTAATAAAAATATGAAATTAAGTTAAACATAATATTAATGCTAACACAGGTTATAAGAACTTATGTGGAATGAATATTTTTGAATAAAAAAATATATATTCTTCTATTTTAAAGTGAACTTATTTTTACTTAAATCAGAGTAGTCCAATAGGTAAATGTAAATTTTACTAGATTTAAATTCGTGAGTTCACTATTGAAAAATTAAATGAGGAGATGGAATTCAATTGTCCATATATGTTAAATGTAGTAATAATAATAATAATAATAACCCAACGATTACCCTCTTCCCGTCCAACCGACGCAAGGGGCGTAATCCGCATACGTGCGGAATTAGCCGAGTAAGAAAAGGCAAAAGAGTTTTTTAAGTCTTGAGATCTAAAACTGCTCAGCTACAGAAACAAAAATTTTCAACAGCTAAGATTTATAGTTACGATATAATAAATTGTTGCATTTTCTTTTATTAAGATAAAACAATAAAGTCTTTTTAGAGCAGATTTATAAGTTTTAAACGAATAGTGTTTGGAGGTCGACTTACCCTAGAATCCCATCGGAAATGCCCTAATGCGAAAAGTGAAAATTGTTTTTGAACAGACTCTAACTTGTCAGAATGGATTTGGTAGATAGAGTTCCATACAACAGAGCCATATTCCAATATAGGTCTAACCAAAGTTGTATAAAGTGTTTTAGTAATATACGGATCTCTAAATTCTTTAGACCAACGTTTAACAAAACTGAGAACAGCTTTTGCTTTCAAGACCATGGTGTCAATATGAAGACAAAAATTAAGCTTAGGGCCCATATTGACTCCCAAATCAACATTGTTAAAAACTTGGTCTAAACTATGGTGCTGTATTACATAAGGAGAGGGGTGCACAGATCTACAGGAAAAGCATATCGTCTTACATTTATTGAGATTCAATGGCGAATCATTTCTATCACACCATGCAACCAAATTCTTTAAGTCTGCTTGCAACAGACATCTTTCCTCTGTTGAAGTGTATGATTTAAAAAGCTTTACGTCGTCAGCGTATGAAAAAATGTTTGAGAATTCTATTACTGAAGAGATATCGCTAATAAACAACAAGAACAGAATCGGGCCAAGATGACTACCTTGCGGAACACCTGAAGAGACATTAATTGTATCTGAAGGAGTATCCTCAAATATCTCACGTTGTGTTCTATTATAAGGATAAGAAGCTACCCATTTAAGAAATATTGGCTGAAAGCCCAGCAGATCAAGTTTATGTGTAAAAATCGAGAGATTTACTTTATCAAAAGCTTTGCTAAAGTCTGTGTATATAACATCTGTATGCTTTTGTTCCCTAAAACTCAATGATACATGGTTTACAAATTCAAGCAAGTTTGTTAGAGTCGATTTCCCTTTACGAAATCCATGCTGAGATGAGGAAATTAACGGAGAAATCGAAAAGGTTATATGGTCAGTGATGATAGCTTCAAAAAGTTTAGGTATAACTGATAGTTCTGCGATACCTCTATAGTTTTCAATGTTGGACACTTTTATGCAAAGGAGTTATAAATGACTGTTTCCATATCGAAGGAAATATACCGTGGTCAAGAGGGGAATTAAATATCCTGATCAAAGGCAATTAAATATATTTGGCACTATTTTTTAGGAAAGATGGTTTTAACTTATTTAAATTAAGGGGTTACATAGGTTTTGAAGGCCAAAAAAAAAGCTTATTTTTTCTAATTTTTTTAAAAGATACTAAATAATGTATACAATTTATTTTATTTACATATAAAAGTACAATATGTGGACAACATTTGATGAAAATTTGAATGAAAAATAGTATAAGTTAAGGCGTTGGCAGTGTCGTGAGGTAGACCGTCCCCAAGAAAGTGCTTTCGCAGTGACTACAAAAACATGCTTAAAAGAAGTGTGAAATATTTGAACTTGATCGCATCAATAGTCGTTGAGAAATTTTGACTACCGATTTCGATAAAGTTGTTTTAAGAAAAACGCGTTTAAAGTTTTTTTTTTCGGTCAAGCCATGACAAAGGAGGGGGTGTACAACTCTAATTTCTACAGTTTCGTCTTGATCGACTTGAAACTTGGGGAAAATATTTCTGACACTTTGTACTTTTATACAAAAAATTATCAAAAAAATTAATTTTTTGAAGTTTCAAGACCTAAGGGGTTACCTTAAGTAGGACGTCTTCTTCAGAAACAATTGGAGCGTTAATTAAAGTATTCGGACAGAGCACGTGTTAATAGGAAAAAGTTTTAGCAGAATTATTACAGTAGTTTGACTTGAAAAATTCTGCAAATATATTGGATATAATGTCATTGTCACTTAAAATAATAGATTTGTATTTCATCGCGAACGGAAATTTGGAAATCCTGCGTTTGGAGGACGATTTTGGATTAATTACAATATTCTTTTTTACTTTATTTAAGTAATTATTATAACATTTTTTGTTTAGGTCAAAATATTGTCGACGCAATACAGAATATGTGTAGTTTTCCCATTTTCCTGTTGTGTAAGACTGCATTCACCCATGGATTCTTGTGTCTTTCATTATCGGCAAATTCTCTTTCGATGTCGCTAATTGTGTTCACACAACCGACACGAGTCCGACAACTTGATTCGGAAAATTTTCAGCGTTCCCTTTCATTATCACTTTCTTACAAAAATATTTTTGTTAAGTAATTTTTTTCCTTATTCACCCTTTTCTAAAATATGTATATCATATTATCCATATTTGCATATTTCATAAAAAATAGATTGAAACCGAGCGCAATTGCAAGCATGCAAATGTGTAATAAATTGCGTAGCAGCGAACTGTTACTAACAATAACACAAAGCGTGCCACCAGAGCACGAGCGGGACGGTCCCTTCGTCTTTCCTCGTCGTATGAATACAGTTTACGCAGTGTAGGATATTGGTGTGAAGCCATATCTATTTATATCATTCTTTTTTTTCATATTTACGTATAGTTAAGTTTTAGATATAATTTACGATAAAAACAAGTCGTTTATGTATTTAGAATGACATATAATTATATTGGATTTTATAAGTACTTATTTACATTCTCATTTCTCTTTCAGCGACTTCTGTCAGTCTGCAAACGCCCTCAAGCGGATATATCCGTAAGTCGTATACGTAAATATAAATATTATATAATATTTATAAAATTATCGGAGGTTCAAATTTAAACATTTGAAGTAATGAAACGTTTCTTCCCACAGAAATTCATCAGTGATTTGTTGGATAGAGCAAAAACACTGTAGATTTACCGCGCTGGCGCAATGGCACTTCATTAACAAGTTAAAAATACAAAAGCCGGAAGAATTCAGATTAAGTTTAAACCTAAATCTATAACTTTGTAATAGTAACCTTTTTGTTTAAAAAAATATGTAATGCCTTTTGTTGTTTCTTCAAAAAATTGTTTAAAGATGTTTATTGATTTAAAGCCATATTTTTAACTTGAAATATTGTATTATTAAAATTATATAAACATTTTATATACGACGCGCATAGAAGATATTGAATATTCATACATATAGACATATATAGAATTAAATAATTTATTATCATTTGTAAAATTAAATGCACATGAATGATATTTAGGTCAGACATGTAATATAACCAAAAATAATCATAAAAATATAAATTTCAGTAGTTAAGTATATAAGTATAAGTGATTCTGAAACACAAAATAAATATATTAAAGTTAAGCAGCCAATCATGACAACACCACAAAGATATACATACACTTGTATAATAAAAAAGAATTAATAAATTATTGAAACAAAACAAGTACTAAATTTAGTATCTGAAATTTTGACAACTTTCAGGGCTTCGTGTGATGATTTGTATACAATGAAAATACCCACATATCGCAATTATCACAAATGTTCATAAAAAATGCTAGTATGCTTTAAAAGTGGGACCATAACCAATTAGTTAAATTTAAATTACCTTCATAGTCTACTCTCTCACAGTGTTCGATGTTTGAGACGACAAAAACTGAAAAAATTTCTCTTTTTTATTAATTTTATACTGTTAATATAATATACCATAAATAAACAACATATAAAATCAAATTTCACTGTGAATAACTATTATTACCTAAATTTTGATTGCTCACAATTTTCTCTCTACCTGGTAATGGGCAATCATTCTCAGGTACAAATAGATCACGGACTTGTTAGAAAATTTGGTGCTGTGGGTCCAGGAGAAAATAACATAGCTTCGTCCAACCAGCCCACACTTGTTAGATGTGTACAGCTCTGTGTGCTCATGTGTACTATGCAATACTATATGTAGAAGCCCAAATATTACTTCAGTAATTATGTAATTAAGATAAAAATAATTCGCATTAATGCCTTTTCTCTATCAATTAATAGATTTTTCCGGCCATTAAAAAATTTCAATTTGAGTGGGAGAGTGGTTGTTTTATTGAGTGATTGGTAAGCTTACTTATATAAAGATTGTTTTGTTAGTGAAAAAAGCCTATTGAAAAATAAATTTTTATACTCTCGGAACATGTTGCATAGAATATAATAGTTTTGTTCACCTAACGGTTGTGTGTATCACCTAAAACTAATGGAGTGATATATGTATAATATAAATAATCAGGGTGACGGGATGAGTTGAAATCAGAGTAACTGTCTGTCCGTCCGTCCGTGCAAGCGATGGTTTGAGTAAAAATTTAAATATGTTCTTGAAACTTGGTACATTTGTTTCTTGGCACCCAAGGAGGGTTGGTATTGCAGATGAGCGTAATCGGACCACTAAATTAAGATACAAAACTGTAATTTGGGGATCGCAGTAGTGAGCGGCACTTGTGGGATAAAATAGAAAAATTTCAAAATGCGCGTTGCCCCGCCCACTAAATGGTTAAATATACATATATTCCAAGCTACTGAAATTAACGTAACCAAACTTGCTGAGGACAAGTCTTTTTGGCATTTCTTTATACACCGTGAAAAATTAAATCAGATAATAATAGCTCCTCACATTACGGGTATGTAGAAAATTACTAAGAGTACGATAACTCACTGAATAAATGAGCCACAAGCTATAAATTTCACAACCAGGATAGCAGGGAAAAGCTTTATGGAAGCCGGTGTAAAAATTGAATGATGGGCGTGGCACCGTCCACTCTTAGGTGATGGCTGGTTTTTTATCGAACATATCGGTGAGTCTGTGAGAATATCGGTTAGAATATTTTTGTGACCAAAAATATTTTTGTGTCAAAAATGGGTAAAATCGGGCAATACTTAGTTGATAGTTGACTTTTTACCCCTTTTATCGGTCAATCTGTAAGAAATTTTAATCAAAATCCGAAAGATTCTCTTTCTTATAAGAGTGTATCTTCTGGCCTGTGGTTGTAAATAATGGATGCAATACTTCCTACTTTTAATTCAAATATTTACAAAAATCCCGTATATCACTTTACCTTGCGAGAGTATAAAGTGTTCGGTTACACCCGAACTTAGACATTCCATATTTGTTTTATTTCCATATTTTTATACTCTCGCAACCTGTTGCTACAGATATTTGTTCACCTAACGGTTGTTTGTATCACCTTAAACTAATCGAGTTAAATATAGGGATATATATATATAACTTATCAGGATGAAGAGACGAGTTGAAATCTGGGTGACCGGTGTCCGTCCGTCCGTGCAAGCTGTAACTTGAGTAAAAATTGAGATATCTTTATGAAACTTGGTAGACATGTTGCTTGGTACCGTGAGACGGTTGGTATTGCAGATGGGCGTAATCGGACCACTGCCACGCCCACAAAACGCCATTAATCAAAAACAAATAAGCACTAAACACGCCAGAGACGTTAAATTTTATCTCTGGGATGGTATGAGATGACTTTATAGGAACCGCGTTCAAAATTAGACAGTGGGCGTGGCACAGCCCACTTTTAGGTGAAAACCCATATCTTGAGATCTGCTTAACCAATTTCAACAAAATTCGGTACATAACGTTATTTTCATATTTCTATGTTATAGGGCGAAAATCGGACTACAACCACGCCTATTTCCCATATAACACCATTTTCAATTCCATCTAATTCTTTCACTTTCCACTATGCATATCAAGCAACAATGATTATATCCGGGTAAAACTTTGCGTGAATAATACGTTTAAAGAATGCCACCTTGTGACCAAAAATTGTCTAAATCGAACCAAAACTGTTCAAGCCCCTAAGTACTAAACATGTGGACCCCAGTGTCTATAGTTGACCTTCTACCGAAAATATCAGCCAATCCACAAAGAAATCTCAAACAAGTATACCATTTGACTTTGCGAGAGTATAAAATGTTCGGTTACATCCGAACTTAGCCCTTCCTTACTTGTTTAAGTTATGATTTGTGTGGTTCTACTTTCGCAGGATGTATTACGTAAGACTATGCTTCTCAGTCGATGTAATGGAAGCTAACTTTTTGAAAACAGCCAAGAATAAATATTTTACATATAGATGTGTTCGAAAAAATGTTTTGAATTTTACAGTGTTATTTAAAGGTAAACTTAATTTTAAGGAAAATGTAGACAAATTACAATTTATAACAAAGTAAATGAACACTTAACATTGTAAGTCTGAATAATTATTTGGAATAAACAAATTTTTTTTATTTATTTATGGTTTGACAGTTTCAGATAACCATTTTAAATTATATACATTTGACTGCATCTGGAGCTCAAAGATTCTCGAGTCGTAAAACTGTTTACTAAAAAATTTTGATATGGAAGAAGTAAAATCGAATTAAAATAAAGTAATTGTTATTATATCTAATACAGACAATTTATCCTATTTGACTTCTAAATATTGCTACGAATGAACTGCTAACAAGTTTTAAAATTTGCTGTGGTTGTTCTTATTTCATGGAACACGTCTGTATGCACAAATAAAATCAATGGACTTCTGAACCGCGCGTTTATTTTTTGCAAATACTACATATTCATATATTTGAATTAAAATCTTTGGCAAATCGATTCCTATATAAATGCAGAGTAGAGTGCTTATTTTCTCAATCCCTTTGTATACATATAACTGTAAGCAAGAAGTTTATGTCAAGTATCGTTAGTTTTGCAATTACGATTTAATATTTGTAAAACATATGGGTGAACAAAAATTTGTAAAGTAAAATTAATCACCAAAATATATAAGAAAGCTCAGGTTCACTGCCAAAAGATATTATATTTGCATCTCTAAAATGAGTACGTATGAAATGGGATATATGTAGGTATAGAGGTGTGTAGTATTAACAAAATATTTATTAAAATTGAAGTCGAAAATCTTTTAAATTTAAAATTGGAGCTTTATATGAAGTAACAAAGTATAGTAAGTGAAATATTCGAAAAACGGTTACGCATTATTAAACTAAATTCAATTCAAATTCTAAATTCAAAGTTTTTGATATTATAACGACGAATGAAAACAAATTCCATAATATTCAATTCTGAATTATTATTTACCCTACAATGAAATTTACATATTTTATTTTATTTATTGCAGCCCATTCACAAAAAATGTCAAAATCATTGTATTTTACTGATTTACGCTTACTCTTAATAAGTCATTGTAATTATAGACTTGATACATAGGAAATAGTCTGCGATAGGAGTTAGAATTAACGATCTCCCGAATGGCAGCATTCGACTCGACTGATATTGCATACTTTTATGTAGAAGTAAACACATGAATCGTCAATTTTGTTCCATTTATTATGAAGCGTGATTTTGGTCGAAATTCACTGTGTGTTTTTGCAACCACCAAAATTTTATGAAATTTGTTTAATGTACAAATTTCCGTTCGTGCAGAGAAAAACAATGAGAAAAGTTCTTATCTACTTAAAACAGACTTTCATTTATAAAAAATTAATCCGGAAAAATAGAATGTTTGGATCCGCGTGCATTTAGGGATCCATACATTCTCTTATTCTTGCAAATAGAAAAATATCGTGTTATTTGAGAAAATTTATAAACGTAAAACTATATAAGAATACTTTTATATGTAAAGTCGTTCTATTCGCTGTTATTAAAGAATTCCATCTATTTCCTCTAGTACGGTACATACATCCGTTAAGAAGTTTTCTTAGAATCATGCCATTTATGCCATGTTTTATCTAAAATGAACCTAAGGTTTAACATTGATAAGAATATTTGGAATGAATTGGAGAGTGTCCACAGAAGTTTGTATTCGTGTGTAATGTTGTTTCAAGGATCTTACCAAGATTGAGAAAATAACAGGAGAATTTCTTATCTATAGAATTTCAAAAATAAAATAAAAACTTTTTACAAACGTTAAGATTGTTTTATAGTTTTTCATTGTGCTAAACGTTAACCACAAAACAATTGGCGAATCTTTTATTAGCAATGCATAATCTAGATATAAATAATAAATATTCATAATTTAATTATTTGCTATGAGTAATAAGATTATTTTCTGGATGTTATTTTTATTCTGAATTGAAGTTTACTTAAGCTCATAAGACATCACGGAATGTCAACCTACTGAGTGTCATTTTGAAAATAAAAATCTTCTAAATAACAAACTTACATTCACATTTATAATACTATATAGGGTTTAGGGATGTAATACATTGCAAGATTATAATAAAACCTACTTCTTCAACTTAAAATGTAGTCGAAAAAGACTTTAACATAAACATCGAGAGATTAAAAAAATACATAAATTTCGAATTGTCTGTTCATTCACCGTAATATTTAATTAATGTAGATGCCATTTCTTAATATTTATAAAATTTTTAATATAAGCAACTTTAATTTTACCATATTTT